AAAATTATAATCTGCAAAATGTATATTCTGAATTACGTATATCGTGAAAGTTTTCAGATCAACTTCGACAGATGGACACCTGCATGCTTGGAACGCAACGCCTGAGGCGTTTATTTACCACCACCACCATCACCACTTCCACTCATCTCCATTATCGTGTATCTTTCCTCTACGGTCAGTATTCATTGCCCAACTGACTGCAATGAAGTTGTGACAGAAATTCTCTGCGAGATATTAGACGGTAAGCAATATTTTGGAGCATTAAATCATCTCTTTTGCCCGATTGTTACAATTTGATACAAAATTGTCGTGTGTTATCGAATAATGAGTAATATTATAATTTCTCTTCATTGTGCACACAGTTTAGAGTGTTACGTATCATTTACGAAATCGCAAAAATTACGACTGAAGCGTTTATTTCGTAATTGTACAACAATGTGCAATTTCACGTGCAAAATGCATACCTAGATAACAAAAAGACAACAATGAAAATTATTATATCAATAAATTTATGCGCGTAATAACTTTTAGTAGCAGATAGCAGGTAAAGTTCATCTGTAACGCGTAAAACGCAAAAAGCCTTATCTTTATCGATTCTAACGTTGTGTTACTTTATTTTTCAGTTCTGCTGACGTTCCCCCCAGAAGTATGATGAGTAATTGCGATTAGCTAAAGTAGCTACGATAACAAGTACTGCCTAGTCACTATGCATATCAGGGATTACGTAAGGTGCCAAACATTATTAGATGTAATATATAGTGACGCGAAATCGTGACGAACTCACTAAATCAACATGAAGGTGTTGCTGTCGGTTCTCTTCGCGATTTTGATATGCGACCAAATCGCCAATGGTTACCGAATTCTCGGTGTGTTCCCGTTACACGGCAAGAGTCATTGGATCATGCAAGAGGCACTGATGAAGGAATTGGCGAGACGCGGTCATCAGGTTGATGTGGTCACGCATTTTCCGCTGGAAAAGCCGATACCCAATTACACGGATATCAGCCTGAAGGGCAGTCTTCCACAAGTTATGAACAATATGACCGCGGCGGATGTACTAGGTTTCAGCACTCCGTCTATATCCAATTTAGTTGCGATAGCTGGAAACAGCATTTGCACACTGTTGGACCACCCAAAGATACAAGAGCTGATTAAGAACCCACCGCAAGATCCCCCCTATGATCTCGTCATACAAGAGGTATGCTCAATGTTTTCAAGTATATGTTCGATCATCCTTGCGTTGCATAAGAAAATTTCTACTATTTCGATTTAATTAAATATATTAATTATATCTACGTAGCCATGGAGTTACATTTTTAATATAAATTATAAATTTTTTTGGTGACTTTTCATGTTGATTTTATCTTCGAGAAGATATCGAACTATCGACTGTATCTAGTATCCTCTAAAATTTTGTAATTTTCTAATTTTTAGGGCCTTTACAATTAAATTTTAAATTTCTTTTTAAGTAAAACTTATTTAATACTAAATGCGGAGTAAGATTTTTGATTCATATCTCTGGAGCTTAATCCGCGAGAGAAACTTTCGGCGTTCTTTATAACACAAAAGCTATTAGCTATTAGTATAATTCGACACATTTTTGTTAAGAAAAAACTTTATTTAAGTAAAAAATTTATGATTAAATATAATCTGCAAAAAACCAGTAAGATATTAGGTATTCATTAAAAAATATATATATATACTTAAGAATCGACACAATTAGTAATCAGCGCAAACGAAAAAATGGTACAACTTTGTTCGTGTTCATAAAGCCATTATCACGAGATAAGATAGTACCAGCACCTAAAGTCCGACAAAATAATCGATTCCATAAAACTCTTATCATGAAATTACATAAAAGAGATAGTAATCGGAAAATTATATAAATAAAAAAGACTTGATTTTTAATATACATTATGCAGAGATAATTGATAAAGTTAAACAAAACGCGGTTAAAAGCAAACATAACATTATTAAACAAAAATTATTACCGCTTTTAATAAGATGTTAATTAACTGACTCGCGCTACAACCTGTAACGTGGCAAGTCGTTAATTATTCACTAATTATTAAATATTTATTACGCACGACAGA